AAATTTAAATTTTGATAATGTATTTCATTATAGTTTACAAGTTGATATTCATAATTTAATAGAAGCATCTGTCGAAGGGGAACAAGTAAAGTTTGCTCACTTGTGCAATTTTGCAGCATTATGAAAAGTATTTCTTTTTTTTTTGCAAATAAATTTTTTATTTATTTATTGTTATTATCAACCACAAAGCTCATTACAAATCATAATTATCAATTATCATTTCAATTTGCAGTATCGTTAAAAGTTTAATAACTGTTATAGATGATGATAGAATTCAAAGATAGAAATTTTAATAATGAAAATGATTAGTAATCATTATTATAATTTCCATTTTTGAATTCTACAGTTCAAGTAGAATCTCAATAACCATAAATTATACATATGCATGTGATCAGCCAATTATTGAGATTGGTGATCATATATAATCATTCTTTTCCTTTATACTTTTCTTTACTTTTCTTTCATACTTGCCTTTTTTTTCTTTCTCTTCTTTTTTTTTAGCCTTTTTCTTTTTCTTTCATCCTGTTCTTTTTCTTTCGCCTTTTCTTTTTCTTTAGCTTTTTCTTTTTCTTTCGTCCTGTTCTTTTTCTTTCACCCTTTCTTTTCTTTCACCCTTTCTTTTTCTTTCGCCCTTTCTTTTTCTTTTGCCCTTCCTTTTTCTTTTGTCCTTTTCTTTTTCTTTTTCTCTCCTTTTTTTTATACCTTTTTCTTTGCTTTTGTTCTTTTTCTCTTCCACACTTTTCTTTTCCTTTAGCCTTTTTTCTCTTCATTTTCTTTTTCTTTCATCCTATTTTGCCTTTTCCTATTTCGTTATTTTGTTGTTTTTTGTTTTGTCGTCTTATTTATTAAAACTTATTTTCTCACCTTTGTTTATAAGTGTAATTTCAGAACCATAGCTTTTAGCATCATCATCATTGGAATCATCATCTTTGGTGTTGAAGCTTTCATCGTTGGAGTCTTTGTTATTGGTGCTTCTTGGTTTTAGTCATTGCCATCATTGTTGCTATGCTTGCAGATATATAAGTTATGTTGTTATTTATTTTTTTCGTTGATTTTTTTTCTTTTTAATTGGTACTAACTTTATATTTCTTTTTTTTCTCAAGTAATAGTTACTGGCATGCTTTTTTCATTGTTCAGTTCAGTGCCTATGCCTTTCATCGTTGGTGTCGTCGAATTCGGTAGTGGCTCTTATTTCGTCATTGGTGTCATCGAATTCAGTAGTTATTATTTCGTCCTGGTGTCATCGAATTCAGTGGTTATTATTTCGTCACTGGTGTCATCGAATTCAGTGATTATTATTTCATCACTGGTGTCGTCGAATTTGGTGGTTATTATTTCATCACTGGTGTCATCGAATTCAGTGGTTATTATTTCGTTGTTGGTGTCATCGAGTTTGGTGGTTGTTATTTCGTCGCTAGTGTCGTCAAATTCAGTGGTGGCTCTTATTTCATCATTGGTGTCGTTGAATTCGGTGCTTATGCATTTTGTCGTTGGTGTCATTGAGTTTGGTGGTTGTTATTTCATTGCTGGTGTCGTCGAATTTGGTAGTTATATTTTGTAGTTGGTGTTGTTGAATTCGGTGGTTATTATTTCATCGCTGGTGTCGTCGAGTTTGGTGGTTATTATTTCGTTGTTGGTATGTCGAATTCGGTGGTTATTATTTCATCACTGGTGTCGTTGAGTTTGGTAGTTATTATTTTGTCACTGGTGTAGTCAAATTCAGTGGTTATTATTTGTCACTGGTGTCGTCGAGTTTGGTGGTTATTATTTCATCATTAGTGTCATTTAATTCGGTGGTTATTATTTTGTCACTGATGTCGTCGAATTCGGTGGTGGCTCTTATTTCATCACTGGTGTCGTTAGTTTGGTGGTTATTATTTTGTCGCTGGTGTCATCGAATTCGGTGTTTATTATTTCGTGCTGGTGTTGTCGAATTTGGTGGTATTATTTCTACGTTGGTGTCATCGAATTAGGTGGTTATTATTTCGTCGCTGGTATCATTGAGTTTGGTAGTTATTATTTCATTGCTGGTGTCGTCAAGTTCGGTGGTGGCTCTTAGTTCTCGCTGGTGTCATCAAGTTTAATGCTGACTCTTATTTCGTCATTGGTGTCATCGAATTCAGTGGTTATTATTTCGTCACAGGTATCATCGAATTAGGTGGTTATTATTTCGTAGCTGGTGTTGTCGAATTCAGTGGTTATTATTTCATCATTGGTGTGTCGAATTCGGTAGTGGCTCTTATTTTGTCACTGGTGCCGTCAGTTTAGTGATTATTATTTCGTTACTGGTGTCATCGAATTCGGTAGTAGCTCTTATTTCGTCGCTGGTATCATCAATTCAGTGGTTATTATTTTGTCGTTGGTATCGTCAAATTCGGTAATTATTATTTCGTTGCTGGTGTTATCGAATTCGGTGATTCTTATTTCGTCTTGGTGCTGTCGAATTCGGTAGTTCTATTTTGTTGTTGTTGCTGTCGGATTTAGTAGTTTTATTTTGTTGTAGTTTGGGCCTATTTGTATTATTGGGTTGTGTTAAATTTTAGTTTAGGATTAGTGTTAAAATAGAATTTAATTTATATATGTA